GGGCAGTCTTCACAAACATTTTTTAGCTATAGTAGTTTACTCTTCTATAATGGCTGCATCAGGTGCATTCTTCATTACAGACGCCACGCCATTATCCCTCCCGGCTTCATTTTCATACATTTCGCTGGTACCGATCACCTGGCCATTACCGGCCTTCAGGTTGAAGTATGGCTTGCCATTCGTAGCGGTCTTCCTTTCGTAGCGCTCCTGTTTGGGGGCATTCTCCATTACTGATTTTACACCATTCTGGCAGGCGCCTTGGTGGTATACATTTCGCTGGACAGGATCGTCTGCCCATTGTCTGCTTTCAGGTTAAAATAGAACTGCTCGTTCTTTGCCTGCTTGATCACAAATTTTCCCATAGAGGTATTTAATTGTTAGTAAAAAAGCTATGAAATATGCTGTCCGCTGGTTATTATTCAACCGGGTCTGCTTCGCCAACAGCATTTATACAAGCCGACGCTTGCAAATTTCTACTGCGCTCTTCCTTTCATAAAGGAACCCACTTCCCTGATCTTATAGCTGGCATTACCACCTTTTACAACAGGCATCGCTGCGATCAGATCCTGGGCTTCTTTTTTGCTGGCTGCGTTGATAAAATAAACAGCGGTATACTTGTTGGTGGAGGCTTCGCGGTCCAGATATTGATTTTCTATGATGCCTTTCACATGGAGCATACTGTCTTGCAACTCCTGTTCTTTCGAAACGCCTGCGGGCAATGACTTCCAATTATCTTTACTATCATAAACCACTACAAATACATGGCCTTTTTTCAGCGCAACGTCAGCCGCAGCCGCAGGCCGTTGACGGACCAGTTGCCCCACGGGGCGTAATTCATACGTAGCATAACCACGCTTTACCATTACGGCATCATCCAATATGCTACGTGCGCCAAATTCATCTGCTGCACGTATAAAAAAACTAACGACGGGCAATGAATCGGTACCTTTTACCTGCACTGCTGATTGATAATAGATGTTTTCTATATAGCCAGCTTTCCACCAATTGTCCAGCTGTTCCATCTGTGCCCCTATTTCATTAGCGATACTGGCTTTATCCTGGGGCTTATAAGTGATAAGCACAGCAAAGTTGTTATTAGCAGGGGCGTTGGAAGAGGTAACGGAATTTCCGATAGGAACTGTTTCTCCAGATTGCGTGTTTGCCGAACGGTTATTGTCTGTTACATTGTTACAAGCCGCAAGCAAAAGGACGAGTATTAAAAGTGGAAATGATCCCGGTTTCATGAGTTATACAAATTTTCAGGATGAAGGAATGCTTACTTGTTTTCTTTGTCAGGCACAGCTGCGCTTTCCTTAAAAACGCCTTTGCCGCTCAACTGACCGACAAAAGGAGATTGCATTTATTTTAAATTAAATACATGCAAAGACAACTTATATTAAAATGATTATCTCTTGTATTTTATTTCTCCAACAATAGCAAATACCGTTCCAGTTTTAAAAACGTTGATACAGAAGTCCTCTTTTGCATCGCAGCTAAAACTTCTTAGAAGCGCGCAAAGCTTTCGGTTCCTTATTGTTTCCGGCAACGTAAGAAAACAACCCTTAGGCAAGAAATAGCCTGATATCGGGATGGAGTACGACATGAACCTATATTATAAGCACAATCTGAGGAGGTATAGTCGTGGGTATAACCGCTGATGGCTGCAAGACATAGCAGTTGTGGGCCGACAACTCCGGATCATTGACCAGTGTAGTGGTTATTTCCAACGGTTGTCCTTTAAAGTTATAGGCGGCTACTGAATGTTTTGCGGCACTATTATAACTGTCTTGTACGTGTTACCGCAGGCTATCAATATTGCTGACCAAGGGATCATCTGCATAAACGGTTTACTCAGCATTTGACTGAAAAGGATGTTGCCAAAATAAATGCAATAAAAAAAAGTGCAGTGGTTAGCTGCACTTTAGTGATGTTGGCCATAGGCTATAAAATTGGTTGACGTAGGCCGGAACCAACGCGGAAATGGAATCTAATTTAAAAATATGCTTGTCATCGCTTCTTCCAGCTCAGCTATAGCTGGCCCCATTGATTGCCTTTCAACCTCTGAGTAAAGCATCATATCTGATAATAGTGTTGGAACAACCTCTAAGAGCAAATAAGGTATTTTTTTCTCTATAAACGTTTTGCCATTATAC